GCCCCTACCTCGACCCCACCCCGACCCCACCCTTACGAGTAGTGTATGGGTGGGAGTAGGGGTAGAGGATAAGGTCGTAGTAAGGATAGGGGTAAGGAAGGGACATGTGGAATTGGGGGTATGGTGTATGGTAGGGGTAGGGGTGGGGTACGGGTTTTTAGGGGGTTAGGGTAACATTAAGGAAGATGACCAAACCCATAATGGATCCACATTAATGGAGTGCCATCAACTTGCATCTACGAAAGTTGGGTCATTTCCATTTGTGATTTGTGGACAATTTTAGTTTCTCCAAACTATTAATTACTGGTGTCTTTTGCGTACAACTCTTGCGCACCAACTAAATATTTCTACGTTTTATTATTATGTATTATTATAAAAGGAAAGTAAACGTGAATCAATTTCATTTACTTTATTTTATTTCGAAACAGTTGAAAACTACGTAAATACGAAATATTATTTGGCTGAATCTAACAATTATTTGACTAGAAAAAGCAAAGCTTGGTAAAATTGGTGTTTTTTGTTAAATAAGCTAAGCAAATAGTGTCAATTAATCGGAAAGAGAGTAGTGATATGAAAGGCAAGAACCCATTTAAAACACCCAAATTTGATGAATGAACTTAACTCACTTGAATTATTGAAATTTTGATTGAAAATGCTCACAATGTTTTTTATTAGACTAATACTCCCTATGATTTAGTTGATAAGATAAATGTATTGTCTCTATGAATTTTATAATTATCGAAGTTTGAACTGATCTTGTGTAAACGGTATAAATTCAAGTAAAAACATACTTAGCTGAACGAATTTGTTATATTATAAAAATGTACCCATTTATAAAATAAATTAAGAAATATATGAACCAAATTTAAATAGTCACATTCAACAAATTCAAATGCGTGCACTCACATTTATTCTACTTAGATTTTTTGCTCATAATTTGCTGGTCTGGTCTGATCGGGTCTGATTAAGTATGGTCTGATCTGGTTTGGTCTATTTAAGTATGGTATGGTCTGGTATAGTCTGGTCTAGTAAACATATGTTCATTGTGTATTTTATATCTACGGAAGTCATGTATGGTCTGGTCTTGTCTGGTCTGGTCTGTTTAAGTCTAGCTTTGTTTGATCTGGTTTGTTTAGGTCTGGTCTAGTCTAATCTGTTCTGGTCTATTTAAATCTGGTCTGGTTTGGAATTGAAAACCGTCCAACTAAAAACATTTCTATTACCCTACACAATGCTTGAATTAAGATACTAGAAAAGTAGGTTCATGAGATTAATAAACACTTTGTCATCCCCGTTTTGGTAAACGCTGTAGCGGTACACCAACTCATCATTGCACAATAAATTTGTTCACAACTCCTCTTTTTTTAGAGGAAATGTCCCAACTTCTTTACGCGTAGAACCTCATCCTTTGATGGCATGACCCGATACATTTGACTTTGTATTGTTTTAACTTTTTAGGAGTGTTTCGATAGTTCACAAATAAATCATGATATCATACCACAATTGACATTTTATTTGTCCAAAGTTATAATCTTATTACGGAGTATTTGTTAATATTAGAATCATTAAATTATATCATTATATCATTCACCCTATCATCTCACAATTCTCTTTATATTTGTTTCATTATGATTATTTCATACCAAATTTGATAAGGCTGATGTGATTTTAAATCATTCTTATATTATATTCTCACTTTATCAATTCAATTTTAAATACATAGCTCATTTTACTTAGATACACATCGCCTCATATTGTACTAATGTCACGGGTGGAGGTAATAATATGGGGTTTCCCCTTGATATTACTAAATTTTTATCAGTTTCCAAAAAAGTGACCATTTTTTTAGGACAAAAAAGTGAGCAAAAATGTCATATTTTTGGAAAAATGATGTCACTGTCAATTTTCGTATCACTTAAGAGACGTCATTGTCATATACTCATGTTACTATTGGGTAAACATGTCACTTTGTGCGTCGTCGGTGCAATTGAACGTGTCACTGATGCCGATGACAGTAACACTATCATAGTGACACCGCCGCAAGCTACGGTGACACCGCCACAGGCCGTCTCACTAACTCCGGTTGCCGCTCAATATCCTAGCCCCTAGCCCCCACCCCAGCTCCAGCCCCATCCCAGCCTCCTGACATGTCCTTAGAGTCACCCTCCCCCTCCTGAGCTCCAGCTCTAGTTCCGACCAATCCAGCCCCCCCCCCCCCCCCCAACCCAAATCTATACTATATCTGCACAGCCCCGACCTCGATCCACCATTCCCTCTCCCTCCAGCCTCATATCATATCCTTCATTCGTCCGTTAACTTAGCCGCCATCGCCATCTTCAAAGTCTGTAGCCTAGCCGCCGTTGCATCGCCCAATCCTATCCACCGTCGCCATCTCCGAGCCTAGCCGCCGGTGTCACCGAACTTTAGCGCAAATTTGGAAATTCATTGGAAAAGATTAAAGATGAAGAAGAAAAATTGCAGCAGAATGTAGATAAAGGCGGGGATGAAGATCGACAGAGAGCGACAGAGACCGGCGGAGAGCGACGAAGCCGACGGAGGGCGATAAAGATCGGCGGAGGGTGACGAAGACTGGCGGAGGGAGATGATGACCAGAGGAGCAGAGAAGCGGAGGTGGTCGGCGGCCGCTAGAGGCACAGGTTGCGGCTGTGAGGTGGATGAGAAATGGAGACCTGCGATGGAGGAGACTCGACATCTGCAATTTGTTTGCGTAGATCTGGATTAAGAGGAGAGGTCACTTTTATGTAAAGTTCCAAAATGGTCACTTTTGTGTAAAATCTTATAAGTATTATTTGTGCCATCAATAGCATCTCATGAATGAATATCATGAATTAAATGTCAAGGGTGCCACATAATTTGACTACTTTTATTTTGCAACATAATTTGACTACTTTTAAACGTCTCAAATTGTGTACAAGTGTACGAAATTCGTTTTGACTCATGTAGTTTGATCCAAAAGGTTGAATGCCCAACTCCAAAGCCCCCCACCCCGATCTGACATGATGGTGGGGAGGTTAATCACGGTGACTCAGTCAGCAAAGCGGCGGTAGGCCTTATACACGTGTGCACCAGAGGTCCAACCTTATTTCAGGTTCTGTAACCTTCACACGACCGCTGCGGATTTCGAACCTTGGTCACTTGGTCCAATTTTCCCACCACTCGACCAACTGAGCTACCCGTGCGGGTAAAGACTCATATAGTTTGAATAATTGAATCAGTGTTGTTTTTATCAGCCAAATTTGCAAAAACAACTACTCCCATCACATTCAAATCTTACACTTTCTTTTTTGTGACGTCTCATTTACTCTTTTACGTTTTCTCTTTAGGCAACTCTTTTTACATTAAATGTCCTAACTACCATTTACTATTCATCCACTTTTTACATGTGAGTGGATAACATTAATTCACTCCAAAAGTCAAAGGGCATGCAAGATATTCACTCTTCTATTAATTAAGCTTCTAAACTACCGTATCAAAAGCAAACGTCAAGTTCTATTCACGACGGAGAGAGAATTTGTTTACTCGTATTATTTTATTTATTTATTTTGAGATTCTTATTTCATATCCAAATCAAATTTGCATTTCATTGAGAGTATTAATCGCTCAGTCTCATTATGGTTATCATACTTTCCTTTTTATGTTTTTCAAAATGAATATCATATTTCCATTTTTGCAATAAATTATGATCTTTATCATTTCACTTTATTATACTCAAATGTCAATTACAACTTTTACTTTTCAATCACCTTCTTAATAATCATGTCAAATTAAAACAGGACAACCAATATGGGACAAAAGGGTAGGACATTTTCTTTTGGATTGTTTTCAGTCGCAGACCAGATCGGACAAGACTAGACCAGACCATATCAGAGCATACTTAAACAGACCAGATCAAACTTGAACAGTTATAAAATATACAAAGATCAGACATTTATCAGACCAGATCAGTTCAATTCACGGCAGATTAGCACTCACACTCACCTTATTCCTTTTGATTTGTTTTTGTTTCTTACACTTGACCAGATGGCGATTGATGGATCAAAGTAAACGTTTTGTCATATATTTCAAACTCCAAAAATCACTCAATCGACTAATTTTTTGACTTACTAATCTTATGGAGTTATAGTCGGTATCAAATTTTAATTCATTGACTATTCATACCGTTAATAAATGTCACACAATACTAGAATGATGAATGAAGTTCTAAGTGACCCGTACAGGTAGCTCAGTTGGTCGAGTGGTGAGAAAATTGGACCAAGTGACCAAGATTCGAAACCTGCAGCGGCCGTATGGAGGTTACAGAACCTGAAATAAGATTGGACCTCTGATGCGCACGTGTATAAGGTCTACCATCGCTTTGCTGATTAAGTCACCGTGATTAACTCTCCCACTATCTTATCGAGTCGGGGTAGAGGCTCGTGGGGTGGGAGATTCCACGTTTGGGACCAAATGAATGAAGTTCAAGTCGATCAACTCATTCCGCAAAAACCAATTTACATGGCATCATATCTAGAAACATCAATCATAGAGAAGTAGACTATGGAATTATGGACTAATTCCAGTTTATTATCTGCCGGACAAACTTCTAAAGACTCTTGTACCTTCAGTCTTGAGTGAGCGGTCTTGCTGCCCTCCAATCGGCGCCAATTTTCTTGGTGGCGGCGCACACAAAGCTCCTAGGGAGTGAGAAGCTTAGGGCTTCCGTCCCAGGAAACCTTATAAACGTACGTCAAAGTGCATTTTATGCGAAATAATATTTTTAAAATGTTTAATTACTTTTCACTTAGTTTGATGAAAAATAATGGTAAAATTAGAAATTGGAAATAAAATTTTACGAGTATCATTAACTGAAAAGTGGGAATTTATTACGCGTGTGACTATATATACTCGATAGTAATTTTTATTTATACTCCAGATGTCGGTGTTTGTGTTCCCCTAATTCTGGAATCTATGAACTATCTTCCAAAGTTTCTAGACAGATTACTCAGTAGTAATTTGTGTGTTACAAAGTTAAGATAATTTTATTTTATGATAATTGCCACACATTCACCAAATCTGTTCTCATTTTTTTTATCAATGTCCCACAAAACAGTTCAATTTGTATAAAAGAGTTTTTGCCGTTTTTTATTCTACTACTATTGTATCATTGATACTTTTGGTATTTAAATTTTAATTTTTCTAATATTAATTCTAGACTATTGTACAGTATAAATTTTTAGTTCTTGACTCCAAAGTTTTTCACATTTAATTCCTAAGAATTATCAAAGATGTGTATCAAAAATGTCTCTCACACAATAGTCAGGTACTAAAAGTAGACAAAATTAAAGTCAAGTAACAAAAATGTCAGTGATATAATATAGAAGGACCGAAGTGACAAAAAAAGCTTCTACAAAAAGAAATCACTTTTTTTTTACTCTACAGGGGTCTGGGGGAGGGAGACCGAGAGACCTGGAGTAATGATGAAACTCACTATATTGAATTTCAAACTCTTATGTGTCTAGCGGGATTCGAACTCGAGACTTCCCAGTACGGTAACCTCACCACCAGCCAGGCTGGTACAAAAAAAAATCACTTTTAATAAAAAAGTCACAATTACCTTTTATTATTTTCTGTAAGTTAACATAAAATAAACATATACTTAGAAAATCAAAAAAATCTTCATTTTGAGGCTCATCACTCATGTGATAACATTCAATTTTCTGAATAATGATGATATCGAAATCAATTAGAATAATCAAACATGAATTAAAAACGTGTGTGCATCCTCTCTGTTCTCAATTTCTAATACTGATATGATTCCGATCAAGAGCACTATGATATTTTAGAAAGTGTACGAACAGGAAAAAAAGTCAACACAATCAAACGCCAAAGGAATCAAAGCACTAATCCAAAAACTCCCAAAACTGAAAGCAAAGGGTACAGATTTGCAGTGCTCTTCCAGTTCGCGGAGGAGCTGCCCGTGGCATTCCCTGGGCTCTGCACCGGCGTGATCGGGGGCGCATTTTCCCCGTCACTTTCTGAACCACCGGACGGAGCAGGGGAAGGTGAAACCCCCGGAGCGACGCTCTTTCCGGCAGTTAACTGCAATGTGGTTTTAGCCTCCATATTCTCCGTTCCCATTGAATGCATCGTTGGAGCATTGTCGGCACCCAACGGACCCACCTGCCACAGGGTGTTTAACTCCGATAGCGCCGGCAGTTGACTTACCGTTGCGGAAATCCACACGGCCTCGTCGGATCCCGCCACCGCTGAGGCGTTCCGGACGGTCCACGGCAGAGGCTGCTCGGTTATGCCGGGTCTGGAATTGAAGGTGAGATTGTATTGCTTCAAACTGAGATTTCCAGATTTTGAATTTATAGCGACGAAGGCAAACGCGCCATCCATGCCGGTTTTCTTGCCGGCGTTGATGCCAAAGGAGGACCATTGTCCTTTCGTGGTATTTACGCCGAAAGTGAAGGAGAGGGTGGAGTTGGCCGCGGTGTAGTTCCAGTGGAGGATGGCGCCGAGGGTGGGGAGGACCGTACAGTTAGCATACACATTTTGAATCTTCGAGGCGCAATTTAGAGAGAGGGCGGGTGAAATCAGGAGAGCTCCGATGAGGAGGAGGAGAGAAGATGGGGACATTGTGGGTGGCGATGCGGCGGCGTCGACGGTGGCTGAGAGTTGCTCGCCGGTTTCGGTGGTCCTGATTGGGTAATTTGGAGATTGGAGTAGTGGTAGGTGCTCTGTCTGAGAACGGTTGGGTATTTATTTATTTATAGAGAAAACGGACGGGTGAGATTTAGGAAGGTAGGGTTCGTGTTGGAGTTGTAGTTGCCTAGGACGTGTTTATTCAACGCTATCACAAACCAAGTGCAACACTGCAGCCTATCCCTATACAAAGAGAAGTCGGTGTTAATTTTGTCATTTTTACGGAGAAAATAAGTGTACTCCGTATTTTTTTTATACGTATGAGACCGTTTGGTAATTCTGAAATTATCTAGCATAATTCCGTTTCCGTTTGATAATTATGAAATTGGTTGAATTGATTGATTCTACTGAAATTTATAAAGTTCTAAGTATATGAATCGGCAGATTCTACTTGTTTATGAGAAAAATTATATAAAATATTTTTATTAATAAAATAAAGAAAAATTTATATGCAAGAACAGCGAAAATGATCCTCTACAGTAATAAATTAATTTGAGTATAATAAGTTAACCTTGTACTCTTTCAAAAAAAAGTTGTCCTTTCCCTTATATAAAGGATTACTTGCAAAATTTTAAGGGGAAGTTTGTGTAACCGCGTTTCACCCCGAAATGTCATTCTTTTTCAACATAAAAAGATGATAAATGTAGCATTTTGGCTACCAAAACGCAGAAATACAAACATGTCCTAAAATCTGGGATTACAATTAGTTTTAAGAAGTACTTTTTCACTCACAAGTACTTTTGCACTTTCACCCAAACACTCTTATATGTAGGAGTGGAAAAAACCAAACTGAAACCTGAAAAACCGACCCTGACCCGACCCGAATTATGATATCGGTCCGGATTTTTTCTTTTTAACCGGATCGAATAAAAAAAACCGGACCGAACCCGAAATTTCGAGCTCATTAACGGGCCCTAAAGTTTATAACCCAGCCCGGACCGATAAAACCCGAAACAATTATCTGTAGTATAAAATCAATATAATATACAAATATAATTTATAAATTAATTTCTAATATATGATTATAATCATGGTGGATGAAAAAAAGACAGTAATTTTTAGTGACTACATATATGTTCAATTTATTTACCTTAATGACCATGCAAAATTTTTTATACTAACTTTAATCACATTTTTATCCATAAACGTTACGTAGTATTTTCTAACATTTTTAGAAAACCTATTTTATTTATTTATATACATCTTAAACCAAATATTATGGTAATTATCTTCTTCGGATATGAAGTGTTGGTGATTTTGGAGACTGATATTTGTGTTATTATTTGCGGTTTGTACTTTGCATTAATTTTATTAGGAAATATGTTTTGGAATATAAAAGGACAATGAGATGATTTCACATTCGGGCTTTAACCGGACCAACCCGAACTCGGACCGAATCCGGATTATAAAAAATCCGTCTCGGACCGAATATAATGGGCTTTGTTCCGGTCCCTAATTTTCATAACTCGAGATCTTACGGATAATTTCCGGGTTAGGCAAAATCCCGACCCATACCGGATCGATCCCACCCCTACTTAGGGCATCCTCATTGGGAGGATTATTACGAGATTAAATTAGTGACATGGCAGTTTTTTTAGAGAATTATCAATGAGTGACATAGATTATTTAATAGGATTATTTGCTACAATAATCTGGGATCAAATTACGAATCCGGATTATTTTAGGATTATTTGAAAAGTATATGTAATAGAGATAAATGCAAGACAGAGAAAAAACAGATTATTTGAAGATGATGATTGAAAGACATAAACGAATTTTGAGATTATTTTATAATTAATTACATAACAATATTTAAATGGTAAGAATCATATAAAAAATCGATTATTAGAGATCATGAATGAAGATGCTCTTATATGTGCTTTTGCACACTAAAGATTAGAAGCAATTTTAATAAGAAGATCCAAACATTCCATAAATAGACTAATAATAGAGTATGCTAATTTATTGTAAAATTGATATTTATTAGGTAAACTAATCTTCCCTCGGAATAAATACCAACTTTTTAGTTTCACAACAAAGTTTGTATGTTTAGCGGACTTTCAGTCAATCTACTCGTGGTTTATGGAGTATGTTTTAGACTCATAACAATTACTCCGTACTACGTATTTGCTTTATATACTTGTGTGTATTTAATCCAAAATTAAATATTTGAAATTCTGAGCCTAATAATTTTTTTCAATTCTGTTGTGGTTGTTTTTGTATGAAAATGATTGTTTTTCAGTTTATTGCACAATATACTACGGAGTACGCTTATAATATACATATCTTATTTTATAATTGTGAAAATGTTGTGAAATGAAGAAGATGAAGAGCAAATTTAAAAGATATATATATATATATATATATATATATATATATATATATATATATATATATATATATATATATATATATATATATATAACCTCTAAATTACTTCTTCTTAATATCTGAATATTTTCTGAACTTCTGAGTTTTTTTTTTGTGTGTGATTAGGGATGAATCATCTAGGAATGATTCTATATAATTTGCTGGCATTATTGAATCTAGCCATGTGTGTGATTACAATGATTTGTGTTTGCTTAGTGTCCTGATTACAAGGATGGGCATTCACACTTGTCATTTTGGTGGTTTTACAACACTCCCCCTTTATTGTTCATCCTTGAATATGTATTTATTATTTAAAAAAAAACTTATTGTGAAAATTAAGGGGTAAAGATTACGACTTATAATGTCGTTGTATTTGATGTACTGTCTCATTAAAAACCTTATCAGGAAACACCCAGTGAGATAAAAACATGATGAAGGGAAAAAGAGTGCAGTGCATTCAAATAGTCCTCCTGAATTTAGTATAAATCATGAAGACGTCGCATGCCGATTTTCTGTACAAGTTCTATGAACTTCTTCGGGGGTAAAGATTTGGTGAAGAGATCGGCTGGATTTTCACTGGACCTGATTTGTTGAATGTTGATCGTCCCTTCTTTCTCCAGATCATGAGTAGAGAAGAATTTTGGTGATATGTGTTTTGTTCTGTCACCTTTGATGTAGCCTTCTTTAATCTGAGCTATGCACGCAGTGTTGTCTTCGTAGATCACAGTCGGGTGACAAGTAATAAGCTTCATACCACATTCATTTTGGATGTAATCATAGACCGCAGCCACACACATTCTCTTCCAGTTTCATATAATGCAATTAACTCCGAATGATTTGATGATGTAGTTGTCAATGTTTGCTTCATAGATCTCCATGAGATTGCGGTGTTACCATAAGTAAATACGTACCCGGTTTGTGATTTCACCTTTTGAGGATCTGATAAGCATACAACGTCTGCATATCCGATTAAAGCAGCTTTTGCATCTTTGTGGTAGAATAAGCCGAGATCAACTGTACCACGTAGATAACGGAATATGTGTTTGATCCCGTTCCAATGACGTCTTGTTGGGCATGAACTGTACCTAGCTAATAAATTTACAGAAAATGCAATATCTGGTCTAGTATTATTAGCTAAATACATTAAAGCTCCAATAGCATTCAAATATGGTACTTCAGGACCGAGTATTTCTTCGTCGTCTTCTCGGGGACGGAATGGGTCATCGTGTATGTTGAGAGATCGAATGACCATTGGTGAAGTCAAAGGATGAGCTTTGTCCATATAGAATCTCTTCAACACTTTCTTGATGTAATTGGATTGGTGGATGAGAATTCCATTCTTCAAATGCTCAATTTGAAGTCCGAGACAAAATTTGGTTCTCCCGAGATCTTTCATTTCAAATTCTTTCATAAGATATTTTGCAGTATTTTCAATTTCATCAGGAGTTCCAATAATGTTTAAATCATCAACATATACTGCAATTATGACGAATCCAGAATTTGATCGCCGAATGAAAACACATGGACTAATTGGATTGTAATGTTCTGAATCTTCTAGCTCAGGTCTCCAATTTCATCCACAAAGGATGAATAACACCACTATGATCACAAGAGGGGAGAGGGGCGTCAGCCAGCAAACTGATTTCCGGCCAAATATCTCCGGTGAACCCAAAAGAAAAGCTTGGACTGATTTTGGGGGATTAGGTTTCGGCGCTCCTCACAAAACGGAGAAAGGAGAATTATTTATAAGCCAAGGTCAAAAACTCAAGTAAGGTAACTTACCTTATCAAAGATATGCAGCGGCTTCAACAAGGAAAGAAGGCGGAAGAGAGGATATGCGCAGGGCTAACGAGGATTGAATAGAATCGGTAAGTCCAACCCTCGGCCGGGTACAACCAAAGAATAAATGGGCTTACGGAAATAGTTGGGCCAATACCTAACACATTCTCCACCTTATTGGACCATAGTGGCTTAGAGTAAAAACTCTAACACAAACATGAGACTCATCATCGTTGGATTGCCCGAATGATCATAAAGACACATTCAGGCAAAAGGGGTAAGATCACCAGGCAACTTATCCACAATCAATGTTTAACGTGCGTTTGCACGACAGCAACTTTTCGACAGAGAGACATTTAGTCCCCATGTCAGCAGGATTAAATTCAGACGGAATTTTAATCAACTTGGTATCACCTGCACTAACAATATCACGTATAAAATGAAATCTAACATCAATATGCTTAGTTCTATCATGAAAAACAGGATTTTTGCACAGTTGAATAGCAGATTGACTATCAGAAAACACACAAATGTCCTGATTAAGACTACCAATCTCCGTTAGGAGACGCTTAAGCCAAATGGCTTCCTTAAATGCTTCGGTAGCGGCCACATACTCGGACTCAGTAGTGGATAGAGCAACTATGGGATGAAGTTGAGACTTCCAACTAATGCATGACCCGCAAAGAGTAAACACATAAGAGGTAGTGGATTTCCTATTGTCTCTATCGTTAGCAAAATTCGAGTCCACATACCCACTCAACTTAACACCCTCAGAACACCTAGTGAAAACCAACCCATGATTAACAGTAGATTTCAAGTACCTAAGCAACCACTTAAGAGCATTCCAATGAGGTCAACCAGGATTAGACATATACCTACTCAAACAACTAACAACATAGGCAATGTCGGGTCTAGTACTCACCATGAGGTAC